AGCAAGCTACCAAGAGTTATATTTTGGCATATGATGGATTTCATATAAGTGCTTTGCAAATTGTAGGAATGGGATTCTTTCAAACCTTCTTTTTCCTGTCAGAATTATAACTTACTCTCATCTGGAATTTTAAAGACCACAATATCTTGTAAAGTATCCTAATATGCAAAAAGACCTGTTCAGATATAACAAAAATGTTGGCCTATCATCACCATTGATAAACTAATGGTCAGTATAAAGGTATCGGGTATTACAGAATATGCATTGTTCATTTACAACAATAAGACAGTCAAAGACTTCATTTCCATAGTGATGGCAATGATAGTACAGTCTAGAAATGAAAGAAGAAAACACATTTACATGCAGTAAACATTTTTATGAATGCAATTCAGAATTAAAGGAAGAGATGAAAATTACAAAGAGTATTTCAAAATTGCTTTCTTTAACAAGTGCCTCTATAGTTGTGTTTCTTAGAGATTCAGATTAAACATTATACACTGGTAGAACATTTTATTGTCCAAGCCTAGAGATTCCATATTTCCTCATAAACATCCAATTTATAAACACATTTCTCTGTCAGATACAATATTGTCAACAATATTTAAGTAAATACTCTGAAGAGCCATGAGAAGCTGAAAACATAGGAGTCATTCAAATGCACCAAACCTTAGGTTGAACAGAGGGATTTTCTGCTTATGTGCAGCTCCTGATGCTCAGGGTGAGAAAATATTTTGAACAGTGTGCAAAGCAATATGAGATTAAACACCCAGAAGAATAAAATCCCATAATAGAATTGAAAAATTGACAATGTGGGCACCAGGTAAGCCTCTCAACTCAGGTGTCTGAGAAGACCATCTTCTAGAAAACACATGAAAAAAAAAGAGTTTAAATGTACAACTGGGAAATATGGAAACTGCACATCTGGGTATATACATTTTGTATATTTTTATAAGGCTGATGGATTTCTGAGAAGAAGAAGCACATATCACTTATGCTCTTCTTTTCTTTCAAATTCTTTCTCGTCCCAATGGATTACAGTTTCTTTCTGTAACTGATTTTCTGGTGTGAAGAGTATGTTGTTGCTGTGGTCATTATCTTTTAGTTTATATTCCAACTGCTCCAGAACTGGGACTCAGAATGGCCTACAAAAATGAATACAGATCAGAAATCAGGGTTTTAAAAAATCTTTCTCTCAATATAGAGATCAAGGTGGCTGGCAGATTCTTCTATCTCTGAAAGGCCATTTGTGGGGCAGAAAACAGAACTCTCAGTGTCCTTCCAGAAAAGGCATAAATCTGGGAGGAAATGGGTTTGTTTCCCCACACTATCCCAAATTCTGGGCTTTTACATCATTTTTTAACATCAGGAGTACTATGCAGAGGGATCTGTGCTGCTGCCAGGCCCCTCGGATAAGTTGGAAATTGAGAGGCTGGGGGGATGGGATGGATGTCCTCTCACTCCATCAGGTTCCAGGAACCTGAAGAACAGGGATGGCTGTGGGGATTGACCCCCACAGGGTCCTCACCTGGAAAGATTTGGACCTTATCTTAAATCCCAGTTTTCTCTGGCTTAATTTGCTTTTACCTTCTGCATCATTTGGATGCCTCAGGTAAAAGTGAGACAGGTCCTGTGTTTTGAAACAAAATATTGTGTATTTATGAGACAAGAAATGGAATAAACCTTCACAAAAGTACAATAGAAATCGTATTAATTGTAGCTAGTAATCTACCATAAACATTTAAAACAAATCATCCCTCTCTATAAACTCTAAATGGAACATCATAAAATCATTATTATGATTAACATCTTCCATTTATCTCTACATTACTATATTTTAGACATTTCTTCAGAATCTACGTAACTAAGCTCTCATTTGTAATGATATATCAAATTCAATTTTGGTTTTTTTTTTCTGTTTTGCCTTACTCTCTTCCTTAATTGTAATATCTGAGCCCCAAGATAACTAGTAGGGCTGGGCGGTTTCGTTTCGTTAATTCGTAATTCGTTAATAATTCGTTAATTTTTTCAATTACAAAACGATAACGAACCATTCTGGAGCAATTATTAAAAAAAACGATTTTTCAAAAACGTTTTGTAAATGCTTCGTATTTCGATATTGTATTCGTTTCGTTATTGTTTTGAGGTCGTTTCGTTATTATTTCCGCATGTCTGGGCCAGTTTTATGGTTTAATTAGTTAAAAAAAATTATAATATCACACCAACAGTCAACAACAGAGGGAGAGGGAAGCTTCAGAAGGTTTTGGAGGTTTTTTAGCGTATTTCGCGGTCGCATCTGCCATTAACGAATCGATTCGTTATTGTTTCGGAAATCGATTCGTTAATTTTTTACCATTTACGAAATTTCGTAAATATCGAACTTTTTAAAAGGAAAATTTTGTAATTATTTTAAATATCGAAACAAAAAAACCCCTAAATACAAATCGATTTTAGAAACAAATTTTTCCGTTGTTACCCAGGCCTACTTACTACTTACTTAGGTGATCCCTCGTAGTCCGAGGATGATGGTCCTCCAAGAGTGGTAACCTGGGGGTGGATCCGTAGGTGGCTGTGGAGCCCTATTCTTGATCTGCATCTTCTCCCGCAGTGAGGGCATTGGTTTCCAGGTGGGAGGCGGTCCCGGTCGGGGTTGGCTTGACGTGATGCGCCTTCCTCTTGGCATGTTTCTCTCTTTCGCCCTCTATTCATGCCTCTTCAAATTCTGCATCACTGCTGGTCACAGCTGACCGCCAACTGGAGCGCCCAAGGGCCAGGGCTTCCCAGTTCACAGTGTCTATGCCAGAGTTTTTAAGGTTGGCTTTGAGCCCATCTTTAAATCTCTTTTCCTGTCCTCCAACATTCCATTTTCCTTTCTAGAGTTCGGAGTAGAGCAACTGCTTTGGGAGACGGTGGTCGGGCATCTGGACAACATGGCCAGTCCAGTGGAGTTGATGGCGGAGGACCATCGCTTCAATGCTGGTGGTCTTTGCTTCTTCCAGCATGCTGACATTTGTCTGCTTGTCTTCGCAGGAGATTTGCAGGATTTTCCTGCAAATTTCCTGCAAAAAAGCACTGATGGAATCGTTCCAGGAGCTGCATGTGACGTCTGTAGACTGTCCATGTCTCACAGGCATATAGCAGGGTTGGGAGGACAATAACTTTATAAACAAGCACTTTGGTATCCCTACAGGTGTCCCGGTCCTCAAACCCTCTCTGCTTCATTCGGTACATTCAATCAAGCAGTACTGAAAGAACTATGTGCTGTCAATTAATAATATATAATACTGATGTCTGCTGTTCTTAATATAATGTCTCAAGTAAATATATTAAGTTAATTCTAAATCTATATTGTTCCAGGAACATACTTTGTAGCATAGTTTTAACAAAATAAGAAGGGGAAAATATGGTTATTCATTAATCCCCCAACACTCACTCACTTCTTCCAGTTGCAAGCTAGATTTTGTGTTTGAATCACATTGCTAAGAAAATTAATGTAATTTTCTGCTGGGTGCCTTATGTATTCATTTTTTCCTTTTTCAAGTGGAGCTTTAGCCTTAAAGCTCTCCGATGACAGACCATCCACACAGACTTCATAATCCTTTCTCCTACATTACCATGCAACATTCAGGTTCACTTTAACCTATAACCAGTCCATATGTTACTGCAACATTGCTAACCTGTTCTTTCCATTTTCATGTGTGCTTTTGCAAATAGTTACACAATGAATAACTTCCATAAACTAGCCAACTTTGAAATGTGGTTTCTATCATGTATTACCTTTAGGCTATAACTTAAAACAAAAGTACTTGTGAGTTCTACTTATGAATGACATATAATCCCCCATGTCCATGGATACTGAACATTTTACATGAATAAGAAATTTCCCAAGATTCCAGGTAAGAATAATTTTATTGGGGTCAACCAAGAAGCAAGAAATACAATTGCAAAGATAGCCATAATTTATTTTCTATAAGCTATAAATGGAACAACATATTGTAGACATGATTTGAACAAACAGTGTATAGCTATTTCAAACATCCAGACTAATTACTTTGACTTCTGCTCTTCTCTTCTTCTTCCTATCAATATCTATCTCACTTCCATAAAACTTGCATTAATATGTTAGAGACATACTGCTTTTTGCCCATTACACTATCTAACAACATTTGAAAAAAAATGTTCCTGGTTTGAAAGTGTTATTCCTGTTTCATCGTGTTTTACTTACTTTGAAAGTAGTTATTCTACTCCAGAAACTTTGTTTTTGTGGTTGCCACAAACTATATTGAATTGTTTGAGACTTGAGATATTCATTGAAAAACTAGCAAAATGTTTTGCAGGATGTCCTGCAAAAACAAAGTTTATTCAGTTTATTAAACTTTTCTTATGTTTTTATGATAGAACCAGTTAGGAAATGAAATTTATAGCCCAGGAACAAAAAAATGTGTTACACAGTGTTATTGTATACCATCAACACTTAGGCTGGATCTACACTGCCATATAATCTTTTTGAGAATGCAGATTGACAGCATTGAACTGGATTATATGAGTCTACATTGCCATATAATCTAGTTCAATGAGGTAATCTGCATTCTGGAGTTGGATTATTTGACTGTGTAGATCCAGTCTTACAGTGATACATTATTATTATTATGTATCAAAAGCATTGCATAAATTAGTATAAAACTGATAAAAATAGAAGGAGCGCAGGCGGCTAAATACCTTTTGACCAAAAACGAGCAACAGCAATGGCATTGTCTGTAGCTTTCAACAATTCTTCCTCTGTACATGAGGCAAGGCATAGTGGCCAAGCATACAGATGTGGAGTTGTCTGTTCTGCTCCACAGTCACACGAGGTGTGGGATTCTTTTAGGTAGTACCATTTTGCCAGGTTGTCTTTTGATCTGCCCACTCCACTTCTGAGTCTGTTCAGGGACTTCCAAGTTTCTCATTCTTGGTTTGCCCCTGGAGGAAGACCCAAAAGCATTGCTTTTAAACATTTGAAGTCTTACAGGTGAAAATTGGGATATGTATGATTGGATAACATCAGAGTGGAGTCAAGATGGCATTAATCAGGAAGAAACACAACCTTGGAAAGGTTGCAGCAGTTTGTTTTTGTCTGAGGATATTGAGAAGGATGAGGTTGGTCCAGATGGCTTCTCAAGCAAGTTTTTTGGGGGGGAAATGGACATTGGGAGAGGGTGTGTGCCATCCCGCTCCTTCGGGCTCTTTGAGCCTGAAGAACTGGAATTACTGTCAGGATTGACCCTCGGGATTGTGGAAGCAGTCCGGAAGTCAATCCCCACAGGGCCCTCACCTGGAAAGATCCAGACCTTAGTTTAAAATCCGGATCTTTCGAGGTATTTAATTAATCTGCAGCAAACTTGGAAATCCATGTTTTCTCTGGATTAATTAGGTTTTACCTGAGTCATAATTTGGATACCTCAGGTAAAACTGAGACAGTTCCATCATTTTTGCTCTGTCCGGAAGGGCCTCTGACTGGGAAAAAAATGAAAACCAATGGTTGGTGTGAAAGGTTGGTGTGAAAGCTTTTATATCTAGAAGATTCTAATCAATCAACTACAGGATTTTCTAACATTCTGACACAATGTGCTTCTCTTACCTCCACCATTACTATAACTAGCCCAAACCAATTTGGTAACTCAAAAAAATCACAAAATAAGAGAAAGCAGGTGTTCAGGACAATATTTCAACTCTAGTAGTCATGGACTTTATTGTGCCACTTTGAATAGTGTCTTCAATTATGGACTTTGGTTACTGCCAGACTGCCTCTTTTGCTTCCATTCTGGACAATCTTGATCATCCTTCTCCTCTTGCTGATTCTCCATTTATGACTGGACTCACTTGGCTTTCTGCTTTCACTGTCTCTCAGACTATAGGTATTCTCCTCTGGGCACGCACTGACCCTAAACAGGGTTGCTTTTAAATATTGCACACCAAGCAGGGGTCTCTAATTACCATATGAATAGTCCAGTTTATGAACAAAATCAATTATTTACATCCAAATTATGCCCAAGAGTTCTTCTCTGCATGGATCATAAAAAGAATTGTTGACTTTGAAGGTCCTGATAAAACTATAAAGCAGACACCAGTTGTTTATTTTGAAATGGCATTTCAGTTCAGATTAAATAGTTTTAAACATTAATAATGGAGAATTAGAAGCAAAGGGTTGAACTGGGCAGCCTAAAGGACAATAATAATTAGTGTATGCTATCCATACATTAGCATGTATTTGCAGAAATTACTATCACCGTTTTTAAACAACATATTGCCATTGACCTTAATAAGGTTATTTTCAAATAGTAGTTTGAATCAGTATAGATAATAATGATTATAACAACTGAAACAGCAGCAATTAATTACATATCATATTTTGTGCACATCTGACATTTTGCCTTTTTAACTTTATCTTCTAGATTTCCCACTGAGGAAATTATGGTGTAGAAAAATCCTCAAGATAACGAGGTTTTGATCTGAAACTTTGCAGGGAACACAAAATATGATGCATACAACTGCTTGGTAAATCATGTGGCTGTAAAGTGTCCAGGAGGAAGATTACCATAAATGTAAACCAATGAAGCATTGTATAAAATAGTAGTTTATTTTCAGGACATTAAAGGAAAATACTTTTTTCTGCAATGCACTCTTAATTGTGAATTTTCCTTCCTCAAGACGGAATTATTGTCAGTGGCTTACAGGATCTTTCCTATTGCATGATTATAGCAGTTTGGTGTCCCTTTAACTGCCATGTTTCTATCCTATGGAATCCTGGTATTTGAAATTTTCTGGGATGTCTAGAAATCTTTGCTGGTGTTGTAGTTTAAGGGAAGGCACCATAGCTCTCTAGCAGAGAATTCTGAAGACTAAAAAACAAAGGAACCCTTACAGACTCTTGGATTATGTGGGTATTGTTTTCTATCTCGTTGGTTTTGATGTATGGCTGCTGTGTTAACAATAATCCAAATGGGATTTAATCAAAGCATGTATCATGGTAGCCAGATCTGACATCTGCTGGTTCAGGTGTATCTGACGCACCAATTTTATCTGTGCTAAACATATTGCGGATCTCTGCCAAAACCTAAGCACCTAGGCTCAGATCTGAGTCCAGGAGTATGGACAAGTTATTATTTCAAGAAGAATGTAATCTCATCCAGCAAGGCTGAACCCCAATTCTCTGTTTTGCTTCTCAAAAAAATCAGGAGTACCTCTGAGTGATCTACACTATAGAATTAATGCAGTTTAATGCTGTTTTAACTGCCATGTCTCAATGCTATGGAATCCTGGGTTTGTAGTTTGGTGAGGCAGAAGCACTCTTTGGCAAAACAGGCTAGGTAATGGTAAAGGTTTCCCCTTGACATTAAGTCCAGTCGTGTCCGACTCTGGGTGAACACCTAGTAAAAATACTACTCCCAGGATTCTGTAGCATTTAGCCATGACGAACTGAATTAATTTTACAGTGTACATGCATCCTCTGTCTCATCTGGATTAAGCTTCAGTTCCTTTGTCCTCATCCACTTCATTATTGGTTTAGTACTAAAACATTTTCTTTGGATTTAGATGGGTTCAGTGTCATTAGCACACAGGTGATACTTAACTCCCAAACTCTGGACAACTTCTCCCAGTTGTTTACATTAAACACCATGGAGGACAAAATTTAATCCTGAAGGACCTCACAGGCCAATAGCTATGAGGTTAAATCACAATTCTCCAGGATTATCTGAATCTGAGCAGTGCTCCTTTCATGCTTGTGACATTAACTATGCTGTTTGGCTGAAGTCAAGGAACAGTGCATTCTTTTGATGCTTGTAAAGTAGCCTATTACATTTTGGATTCCCAAAGCTGGAAAGATTCCCCTCCTTTTGTTTTAATATTTTGTACATTCCTTCCTAGAATGGGACCTACAGCTCTGTTAGGAATTTCTAGTGATTTTTCATTATTGCCAACACTGTTCAGAAAATATCTGTTGTTATTTGTACAGGCCCCCTTTAAAAGAAGACAAAATGCACATCAGTCTTTCTCTCTGGATTACTCCCAGGTTTTATTGCAGTGCATGGATCCAATTTTTAAACTGGTTCATGGCTCAGTATTTGCTATCCTCCCTGTGCTTTATGTTGTGCCTGATAGCAAGTGTGAAACGGCATTTAAAATTATAGTTCATTTACTGTGGTTAAACATAAGGAAGCAAAAGCAATTACCCACATAAAATGATGGAATTAAAGATTCTTTGTGTGACCTAGTTTGCTATTTAGTGTTCAGTGAGTGCTGCAAAAGATAAATACATTCTTTATAGGGGGCTGTATCAATCTCCAATCATGAATGAAAGCCAGTGAACATGATTTAGATATAAAATATATGGTTTGCAAACAAAAATCAATCTTTGACTATGAGATAAGAGTTAGTTGACAGTATGGTGTCCCTCACTTGTTTCTAAATAGGGAGGAAAATCTTCTTTAGTAGAGAAACAGTTATTGCTTTACATAGCAATTTAAACTGCTTCACAAAAATATATACTAAAAGAAAAAAAACCCTTTAAAGAGATATCCATGCAGATGTTCTGTGAAAGAAGGGAGATACATTTTAATAAAGGAAAGTGTAATACAAAGAGAAAATGTTAATTAGTTTAATTTAATTACAGACTTAGTACACGTTAGATGCTTAAATTTTATGGGTTGATGATTCAAATTTGATTGATCATAAAAATTAGTATACATATTGTTTTGAGGCCTCTCTTCTGCACGCATGTGTAATTTAATCCACAAGCCCTCTCTGTTGATACATTGTGCATTAAAAAAACTGATTGAGGAAAGCCAGCAGAAAGGAAAAGTAAACCTGGAATTATAATATCTGTATGGATGTCAAATGTTATTTTGAAAAATATACAAACAAGGGACAAGGAAATAAAATTATTTTAGAATATGACCAGATTTGTTTCTTTGGCTTAGGGCATAGCTTTGTAATGGTTCATAGAGGGATATACATACAGACAGGTAAGCTAGGCCAGAACTGTTTAGGGCTTTATAGGCTAAAGCCAGCACTTTGAATTGTGCTTGGTATCAGACTGGCAGCCAGTGGAACTGGCATAACAGGAGGGTTGTATGCTCCCTGTACTCTGCTCCAGTGAGTAATCTGGCTGCTCCCTGTACTCCACTCCAGTGCGTAATCTGAACCAATTGAAGCTTCCAAACAGTCTTCAAACCCCATGTAGAGTGCATTGCAGTAGTCCAGGCCCGTAGCCAGGATTTTGTTTCGGGGGGCGCTGAGTTTGATTCGGGGGGGGGGGCTGAGTCTGAGTGAAAGAGGGTCTACCCTAGCAAACTTTTTGTATCGTTACCCCAATACCCCCATGCATATGGGATATATTGAGCATGGTGATCAGATAATGATATGAATAACATAACAGTTTAAATAATGTACCAGTAAGGCCTTCTCGCGGACCACCATGAGAATTTCGGGGGGGGGGGGCTGAATCCCCCCAAGTGCCCCCCCCCAACTACATGCCTGCAGTAGTCTATACAGAATGTAAGAAGCATGGACTACCATGGCCAAGTCTGACTTCCCAAGGTACGGACACAACTGGCGCACAAGCTTTATATATGTCAGTTAGTCACAGCTTATGAAGTTAAAGATGATATGAAACAAGATGAGAGGAGATGTGTTGCAATTTGCACCTGGGCAGAAGTTTACATTGCACAGTGGACTATGTTTTTCCTAAATGATTAACTGTCCAGGCATGCTAATGAAGGTAGACCTTTCTAGAAAGATTGATGTTTACAATACATAACAGATGCTGTTACATATAGTAGTGCTTAAAGATATTAACCCCTTGGATGCCTGTTTAGAGATGTATAGTTCACAAACAGATGAAATTGTTTAATGAATAGACTATTGATTATTTAAGATGATAATATTCCTCATTATTACTGTTCATTACTGAGAAGCCTACTAGAGAAATGCAGTGGTAGAGGTTCAGTTTTTATGAAAGTTTAATATCTTATTTGCCATATAGTGGACTGTAATGAATGTATGATGCTGTCCATACAACTTAATGTGAAGAAGGTAATGTGTCCAGACATTGGCATGTCTCTGTTTTCTCCATGGAAACCATGTATGTTTGTATATCTATGATTGTCAATAATAAATAGTCTAAGAAAGATTAACAGAGAGCTTGCTCATTCTTCCAGATAAATATCCTGACATGCCAATACTTTAAGAATGCTTCTGCAGAGTGTTGATGTCAACTCCGCCTAGCTGGATTTCACTGTGATGACAAGTTGGACACTCGGGGGTCAAAAGTTTTTAAGAGTATTCCTGATGGAAATAGAATAGCTGATTATCTGGGAAAGAACTTCCTCAGTCTAGAGAGTTAGGGGCGGGAAACATATAATGATATACCACTGATTCTAATTGAGACTAGTAATTAGTGTTTCATAGTTTTCCAAAATTTTCAGCTTCACACTCTTTTCATAACTATGCCAGAATCACCATGATATATGAACAAGAGAAATACAGGGCATATCCACACAGGGTGGAAAATGCGCACCCTCCCAAATTTTTACCTGGGGCATCCAAACAATGTCTCAGGTAAAAACAAATTACTGTATTTTTGGCATATAAGATGACTGGGAATATAAGATGACCCCCCCCCCCAACTTTTCCTGTCAAAATAAAGAGTTTGGGATATACTCACCATATAAGACTACCCCTCTTCCAATGCACACCAAATAAAAATTTAAAAAGCATCAGATTTGATTTCAATATGGTAATTTTCCTATTACTGTACCTCCTTTTCTGCCTCTCAGATCTCACACATGCACTGCTTCACTGCAGTCTTTAGGAGCAAGATCTGAGCTGCTGAGGAGGAGGTACAGTAATAGTATACAAGGGCCAGCTAGAGAGGTAAAAGATGTATGTTTTTCTGGGTCCAGAGCCACTCTTTCTCTTTTTTCCATACCCCGGGCACCCCGGATGCCTGCAGTTTGCTCCGCTCTTTACTTACACCTTCCTGGTGAGCCACCCCTTCACCTCATCATAGGGACCGCATTAAGTCCACGAATCCTGATGAATGGATTTTCTTCTACAATATTTGTACAGGATTGTCCTTGATGCTTTCATACAGTTGCTGCATATGGCAGAGAAGTAATTTGACAGGGTCACCATGAGGCCTCTCCGGAAGCCTCCTGGCATGTAGAAATGATGTGGCGGGGGGAGGGAGGAGCAATTTGCCTGCCATCTCCTGGCACATTATTTCTATGTGCCAGGAAACCTCAAAGGAGGCGTCATGGCATCTTGGTAAGTTTCTTAAATTTTAAAGCTTTTGGGAAGGGGAGGGTTTGGGTAGGGCGTGGGTGCCCTCCTTGGCTCTCCAGGCTCATAGAACTGAGATGGACTGTGGGGACTGACCCCTTCATAACCATGAGACTATCCAGTAGTCAGTCCCCACAGGGCACATAGCCCATTAGACCCGGGACCCTGTTTGGATGTTTGGATGCCTCCGGTAAAAGTCCAACAGGGCCTGAATTTTGGGCCCTGTCTGGAAGGGTCCTGTGTAGATGGCAGAGCACACGTTTGAGCATTCACATCCAAGCAATGGAATGGACCTTTCACATTATCAAGTATTTGCTCTTTATTCTGGCTATTATTCCCATTTTCTCTAATGTCAAGTTGATTGGCAAACTAGATCTACAAAGTATTTAGGAGTCAGTGGAGAAATATGCTGTGCTTTTGCTGTAGGATAGCATATATGGGGAAAAGAAGACAAATCCAGTAGTGCATGAAAGGAAGCACTAATCTCAAGAGCTCACATGCAAATTGGAATATATTTTCTTTTCCATGAACATCCAATTGTAGATGTAATTGTCACTGAAAAGAAAGGTAACTCACAAAACATACACACAGAGTAGCCTAAAATATCTCAGTCAACCCATTTCTCTTTTCCTCTCACAAAGAAAATGCTTTTTGTGAAATAACTTTTGCAATGTATATACACCATTAATTTTTCTTTTTTTTCTTCCAGTAACTAATTTTCCTACATTTGCTGATAAGATACTACTTTTAGTGTCTATGCAAGTTAATGAATAATTTCATTTCCATCGTGTCCTGCTTTATTTCCAAGAATTAATTTGCTTATGTATTTATAGATATGAAGTCCTCACCTGTCATGAAAGCATTTGAATTAGGTAGATCAGAAATGCAAACTATCTTGGTAATACTCAGAACTACTTAAAAACACATGGAAAGATATAAGCAAACAGAATGTGAATGAACTGCAGCTACACACTGAGGCCTAGTCTGGTGAAAAGGAAAAGAAAGAAAAGAGAAAGAGCAGGTTTCTAATATATTTAATTTCACAATGCTTGTGGGTATACAATATTTGTTGTTGGTCTATTGTCTGTGCAGATCTAACAATTTTCTGATTTGCCAACTCTAGAACACGCAACATATAATTGTCCATGTGAGAAGCAATCCATATCTAGATCTGAACCACACAGTTCAAAGATTGGCCCTGAGCTTTGTTGATGGTGATAGCAAATGCCAATCGAATTGGGGATTGCAATCTCTTGAATTGAAATGGCATATTCGTTGGAATAATAGGAATGTGATGATTGAGGACATCTTCAACCCAAAATACCAAGGCAAATAATCCATAATACCTGCTTTGTACTGGATTATATGCCAGTGTATACTTAGGGTCCTTCCTTACAGCCATATAACCCAGAACATCAAGGCATATCATCCACAATGTCTGGTTTGAACTGGGTTATCTGAGTCCAGACTGCCATGTAACCCAGTTCATTGTGGATCATATACAGTTGTGTGGAAGGGACCTAAATAAAGACACAGGGTGCCCAAAGGAGCCCCAGTGAAGTAAATAATAAACATACAGCAGCATTCCTGAAGGTGGGGGTGGCATTGGAAGAGGGAAGGAGAGAGGAAGGCCCGCCTCCCTCAGATAAGACAATGATTGACAGCAAGGGATTTTTTTTATAAAAGGGGAGGGCTTTGAAGTTAGGGAAACCCAACAGAGGGAATGTGGTGTGCATGCCTGAGCAGCCAAATAAACACAAAGAGCCCAAGAGGTGAGACCTGCCTCACCTGCCCAAAGAGGCCTAGCTGAGTGGGTGAGTGGCCGAGATGCACTTCCTCTCCCTCTCCCTTAGGTGCAACTTAAGACTGAGGCAGAGAAGCACTGTTGAGGGGGGAAGGTGAAGTTGTGCCTCTGAGGCGCACCCCCACAGCATGCCCTTGTGCAATCCCACCCCCCTTCAGGGCAGAGCAAGCAGCGCTGAAGCAAGAAAGGACAAAAATAAACTATACTCACAAAATGAATGCTATGGTAAATGACACGTCTCAATTCCAATGCAATGTCACACAAAATAATTAAATCAAAATGAAACTAAATCTAAATCTATGAAAATCCAATTTAGCAATGCATTCAGAAACATTGGAGTAGAAAAATAAAATATGCAGTATAGCATGTGTTGCTTTGATTTCCAGTAGATGGTGCTTTTTAAAAAAAGCCCATATTTTTACCTGTTACATGTGTGAAATCCATATAATAGTAGGCATGTGAAAACATAAAAACATGCGCCTATTCGAATGCTGTGTTGTGTCAAAATTTCAAAGCATTTGGTGAAAATTTTTGGGAGATTTAAGGTTTTGAACAAACAAATTGGAATATATTTTCTTTTCCATGCACATCCAATTGTAGATGTAATTGTAACTGAAAAGAAAGGTAACCCCACAAAACACACACAGAGTAGTTACATTTTTATTTATATAGATTTACCATTCTATTAATTAAATTGGTATATTCTATTTGAGACTAACCAAGTAGATACCTGTCATAACGTGTCTGAGTTCTTGAATAAATTAATTAAGAATAAGTACTTTGTAAAGAATGACTTTCAAGCACTGGAGAAGCCCACAATCAAGACAAGAGTGCAATAACACACCTGATCATGTTCCTCAGCAGATTGATATTGAGAAGCTCTCTGTTTGTGATATTGGAATTGGCATATAGGCATCATGACTGCTAGGCATTGCTAGATCACCCTCCATAAATGTGTTTAAGATTCTATAAAACAAGTCACATCAATGACCATCACAGAATCCCATGACTTCTATAATTTGATTTTGTGCTATGTAGAGATGTGTGTACTGAATTCTGCTTTGTTGCATGATCATAGGATCTATGATTATGAAAAAGGGAAACAAGAAATGTCTCCTCCACTT